CATCATCTCAAATTACAATGATTTCATTATATTCCATAGTTTGGGAAACCAACAAAATGAACTGAAATTTGCCCACTGTGCACAATACTGTATATATAAAGTCTAAAGCAAGGGTGCCTAGCTGGCTCAATTGGTGGAGCATGCAACTCTCGATCTTGGCATCGTGAGTTCCTGCCCCACGTGGGAAAAGACGTTTTAAGTGTTTAAAAAAAAAAAAAAAGGTCTAAACACTAAAGAGCATCTGCTTTAATTAAATATGAATGCTAGGGCACCTGGGTGGCTCAGTGGGTTAAGCATTTGACTTCAGCTCAGGTCATGATCTCACAGTCCAGGAGTTCAAGCCCCAAGTCGGACTCTGTGCTGACAAGCTGCCTGGAGCCTGCTTCAGAGTCTGTTTCTCTCTCTCTCTCTCTCTCCCCCTCTCCCTCTCCCTGCCCCTCCCCTGCCTGAAGCCTGCTTCAGAGTCTGTCTATCCCTCTCTGCCCCTCCCCTGCTTACACTCTGTCTCAGTCTTTCAAAAATAAATACATGTTCAAAAAAAATTTTTTTAATATTAAGGCTAGGGTCACCCTGGTGGCTCAGTCAGTTAAGCGTCCGACTTCGGCTCAGGTCATGATCTTATGGTCTGTGGGTCCAAGCTTCACATGGGGCTCTGTGCTGACAGCTCAGAACCTGCAGCCTGCTTTGGATTCTGTGTCTCCCTCTCTCTCTGCCCCTCCCCATTTATGCTCTGTCTCTCTCAAAAAAATAAAAAGAAAACTTTAAAAAAAATTAAGTATGAAAGCTAAAGGCTACCTGTAAAAGGGATATTTTTTAATTGCATTATCCAATTCTGCTTATGTTTAAGCAGGAAAAAAAATTATATTCAATAAAGTTAACTCCCATGAGCTAAAATAGCAATTTCAGCATTAGCTGAAATAGCAATAATAAAAATTATTAGTCCTACATTCAAAGAATTGATAGTAACCTGTTTGAAACTTGTTACTAAAGTTAATTTACGATTTATCCTTTTTTCCCCCCTAACGTCTATTAAGGAATTTATTCACAACATGTTCCCACCCTTCACTGGCTACAGAGTAAGCTAGAGATGAGGCTCTGGTGTTTCAAAAGAACAGCTCTCAAATAAGTAACTTAGATTAAATGCATTCATTCATAGAGTGAATCAAAAGTGACCATCAAAACTTTACCCCTACCCCACAAGGAGCCAATCATCACAGGGAAAAGGTAAGAAAGGACAAAACCAGCAACTACCCCACGAACCCAAATGTACTTTATGCTGAACTCTACTCTGAAAAATGTGAAAATCACGATTCCCCTTTTATCTTTCCTTTTCTATACTAGTGTGGTTCATGTATATGGGAATGTTAAGACTTGGTTCAGGAATGCTTAATACTACCAACGTCAGAAAAACTATTTCCTACACTCTGAAGAGTAAGAGTGAGGGGAGGCTAAATTTAATCTCCAAGGTGAACACTCCCAGCCCCAAACTTCAGTATTTCCTATCTGCAACCCCAAAGTGTCCTTTTCCTGAACACAGCTTAGCTCTTCCTCCAGTACCATTAAATAACCCATATAAGTTGATTCCAATTCCCCAGGATATAATTTATTGATGATACAAAGAAGTATTAGGTTCAACAGAGTATGCAAAATAAAAGACGCCGCAGGAACCAGAAAAGCCAGTTATTTACTCCAACCCAAAACCAAATCATTCAAATGCACTCTTCTTTTCTTCCATTCCCCACACCACATATTGTTCAGTGACTAAAACTATGAGGAATTTTTGTCACCACAAATAAAACTGAATTATTGCACGCAATAAAGCCGCGAGCACAGGTAGAGGCTGCTTCCTGATGACTGCTTTCCTCTTCTTCCTCCCCAATGAATTCCTCCCTATGTTGTGCCCCGACAGTAACAGTTCCTTCCTTCCCACCTGGTAGATCCTATTTCCTTCCCCTCTTTACATCCTGAAGGAGACACTTAACATTTAAATAACTTAATGAGGTGGCTCTCTCTAGGTAACACTACGTTGAATAACCAATAAGGGCTTTGCTTAAAATTCCTCAGCACCAAGCTCCAATATTATCAGTAACCATGACTTATTTGGAAGCTACAATTATGAGCTTCCAAAATCAGTTTTAAAATCCTAATTTGAGGATTTGAGCCTAAATCCTTACAGACCAGAAAGCATTCAAATATAATTTCAAGTCCCCCCCCCCCCCACAAAAGGACAATAATAAGATTAAGAGAGGAACCTATCTGGTGCATAAGGGTAAAGAAGAAAAACTTCCACAAGAAGCACACCTACATTGTTTCACTTTTAAACACGGAAATAAAGACAAATCTGACCTTGAGCTGTACTTCCCCATCTTATTTCCCTCCCCCTCCCAACAAGAACCTTGTTCAGTACAAATAGACATTTAAGGATTTACAAAATGCAACTGGAGTTCCTGGCCTTTTCTAATTTTCAAATTCTTGAATTCTCATGCATGATGATATACTGGGACTACCCCTTAGGTTATTCACATGACCAACCTGGCATTCAAGGAAAGCATGGGCCCTACATAACATTTTGAAAATTAAATGGCTTCAGTAATTATGAAAAAAATCTGAAGATCACTGGCACTTGATTCCAACCTTGTCTCACCCCTGAACAGCATTAAAACCACAGAAACCACATATAATGTTTTTTTTGTTTTTATAATACTACAGTTTAACGGATGTGGGGCAATTCAAGTACCTACTAGGTCCAAAATGGAGGGAGTGAGGGCAATTTTAAAAAGCAGCAACCTGAAAGATGACTAAACACACAATGGACATTTCGATCAAGTTCTGAAAAAATGACTCAAGAACCTTTAGGGGCAAAGGCGCAATGAACAAAGAACTGTTCAAATCTGTACACAAAGCCATTTCTTTAAAATAGAAAACAGAAAATACGATCTGCTGGGATGCCCTGTGTTCAAAATTCAATAACCCAACCCTCAGCTGAGTCCTTCAGATAGATTAAGATGCCCCCATCAAGTACAAACACGCATTCCAAGACGGGGGAGTCAACCAAAATACAGTAGCTAAACGTTATTTGAAAGAACTTTATTTTCCAACAGGTCTTTTCATTGGTCATAACGGTGCCTGCAAACAGGAAAGTCATCATTTTTACAAACTGGTAAACTGAGGCACGGGCATGTAAAGGACTAAGAATCATGGTCTCCTTGTTTCCTGTTCAACGCTTTATCCACCAGAACCCCCAGCTAAGAATGCCAGAAAATGATTACAGGAACTTCGAGCTCTCCAGGGTAAGTCCGACGAAAGGCACCGTGAGCGAGGTTCTTTCTAGATCTCCCCAGAAGAAAGCAAGGTTGATTGAACGTAAAGCCTAAAAATCACTCAATACAAGGTGTGCCGGCCTACGGAAAGGAAATCCGATCGCAGCACCTCAGCTGGCCTTCGCTCAAGGATGAACTGCAGTGATTCCCACTCTGTCCTTCCCCACCCCTCATCCAAGACTGCCCTCCGCCACAAACCCAAAGAAGCCCTCCGCTCGCAAGGATTCTCCTTTGTGAGACTCCACAGCCGCCGCCCCACATTGGGCCTCCGGGGAAAAGCCACCGCCCCCACCCGCCATATTTCCCTGAAAGGCGCCCGCGCTGCAGCTCCTGGTGCCACTCTCCCCCATGTGACGGGTGTTTCTTCCCCCCATCACCCCACCCAATTGTTCTCCACATCCCAAGATGGCCCAGAGGTTCCCCTGGGGATTGCTCGCCGGGAGATAGCACCCGCCATCTCCTCCCCCTCCCCCGCCCCGGGACTCGCCCTCCCCCCAGCCGCCATTTTACAACCAACTCCTCCACCCTCTCGCCTCGGCCTCCAGGCCCGCGAGTGTCTGCAGCTGAGAACGCTAAAGGGGTCAAATTCCTGGGCCTGGGGCCTCCCACCGCTCCGGGAGCCCACAGGCCATTTCCTACTTCCCGAATCCACGTCCCCGGCCAGCCTCGGAGGCGATGCCGCCATTTTGTCTCCTGCTCCCGGCCTCTGTGGGCGGCGGCAGAGGGTCCGAGAATTCCAGCCCCCCGTTACCCCCCCAACTCACCGTCGTATCGCTCAGCCTGCTCGGCCAGCTTCGCCTGGTACACCAGATCCTCCCGATCATCCATAGCGGCAGCGGCTCCGGCAGGGTCTGCGCAACGGATGGAAGCGGATAGTGTCTCCGACTCTCTCAGCCTCTCGCTCCGTGTCTGAGCAGCAAAAATGGCGGCGCCTCAATCCGGGACTTCCGCCTGCGCACGCGGACAACTGCTCAGCTCTATGGCAACCGCTCCCTGGCAACTGGCGCGGGGGGCGGGTCCAGGAGCTCAAAGCCCGAAGAGGCTGGAACCAGCCAGAAGCCCCTCCTCCGTGGTCTCCGCCGGCTTTGGAGCTCTGAGGCGGGAACTGAGACGGTGGGAGGGAGAGAGCAATCCTGAGAGAGGGAGGGAAGAGAGAGGTGGGGGGCGCGCGCGGAGGCCGCCAGGATGGCCCCTGAAGAGAGTGAGCGAGGGAGCCTGGGCTGTGACCGAAGGCCAACGCCTGGACTTGCAGGCAGAGAAAGCCTGAGGCTGTAACGGTTTTTATAATGACAGGCCTTCCTCACTGAAACCAACTTCTGCCCTACCTTGCTCCTGTTTTTTTTTTTTTTCAGCCAAGCCCAGTCCTGGGCCTTTTTCACACTCTTTTGACACCAGGGTAAAGAGTGGGGCTCTGCTTTAATTGGTAGGGAAAGGGGGCCTGCAGTTTTCACACCTCAATTTCACCCTTGCCTTTTGCAATCTTCTTCCATTTTAGCCTTCTTTTTCTCCTTAGGCCCACCATTGGTAGGAACAGGAAAGTTGTTAAAAGAAATTTGGTCTTGGGGCGCCTGGGTGGCTCAGGCGGTTAAGCATCTGACTTCAGTTCAAGTCATGATCTCACAGTTTGTGGGTTCAAGCCCTGCGTCGGGCTCTTTGCTCACAGTTCAGAGCCTGGAGCCTGCTTCAGATTCCGTGTCTCCCTCCCTTTCTCTGCCCCTCACCTGCACAAAAAATATTGCACAACTGTGATTAAAGAAAAGGCTACAATAATACAGGTAAAAATAATAGATGGTTGCAGTGAAAATAGGAAGGAAAGGACCCTGCAGAGAAAAGCCAGAAGAGTTAATAGCTGGGGCACCTGTCTGGTTCAGTTGGTAGAGCATGCAACTCTTGACCTCAGGGTTGTGAGTTTGAGCCCCACACTGGGTGTAAAGATTACTTAAAAAAAAAAAAAAAAGTCTGTAGCTGATCGGATGTGTAGATTTTGTGAGGAGGGAAAAAATTTAAATTGACCCTCCATGTTCCCACCCTGAGTCACTGGGATAATGGGTAGTAGTACCATTAGCAAAAACCGGATGGGTAGGGAAAGCTGATGACGAAATGAACAGAGACATGAATTCCTTTCTGTGCATGTTCTAAGGTTCTCACAGATCACCCATGTAAAAATTACCAGCATGGAATTGGAACAAGGGACTGGCATTCCAATCTGAAGAGAAGCTGCCATCCATGGAAGCAACTAGAGAATGTGTGCAGGTAGAAGACAAAAGAAACCTTAAGAACATCTGCTTTTGAGAGATATGTGAAAGCAGGAAAGCCAGCAAGGAAACCGGGTGGTTCCTTATTGCATTCTAAACGAAGCCTCTTAACACTTTAAACATACTTATCAGGGGTGCGCCTGAGTGACTCAGTTAAGTGTCTGACTATTGATTTCCGCTCAGGTCATGATCCAACGGTCGTGAAATCGAGCCCTAAGTTGAGCTACACACTGAGCTTGGAGCCTGCTTAAGATTCCCCCCAACCCGCCCCTCCCTCCCTCTCTTACTCCTAAAAAAATAAAAAAATTATCAAGTCTTAATGGTAAACATGAAAATCAAAAGACCTGGGTTCCAGTCCTAATTCTGTAACTAAATAAATATGTGACCTTCAGCAAACATCACGTTTTTCTATAAATTAAGGAACTGGAGACCATATGATAGGCCACAAAATGAGTCTTTTTTTTTTTTTTAACATTTATTTGTTTTTGAGAGACAGAGCACAAGCAGGGGAGTGGCAAAGAGAGGAGACACAGAATCCCAAGCAGGCTCAAGGCTCTGAGCAAGCTGTCAGCCAGAGCCCAATGTAGAGCTTGAACCTACGAACTGTGAAATCATGACTTGAGCCGAAGTTGGATGCCCAAATGATTGAACCACCCAGGCATCCCACAAAATGAGTCTTAATAAATGCTAAAAGATTGAGGGGTGCCTAGGTGGTGTAGTCAGTTAAGCGTCTGACTCTTGATCTCAGCTTAGGTCATGATCTCACCATTTGTGAATTCGAGCCCCACATCAGGCTCTGCGCTGATGGTGCAGAGCCTGCTTGGGATTCTATTTCTCCTTCTCTCTGCTCCTCCCCTATGTGTGCTCTCTTTCTCTGCAAAAGAAATAAACTTTTTTAAAAACGTTAAAAGAGGGGCACGTGGGTGGCTCAGTCGGTTGAGCATCCGACTTCAGCTCAGGTCATGATCTCATGGTTCGTGGGTTCGAGACCCGTGTTGGGCTCTGTGCTGACAGCCAGCTCAGAGCCTGGAGCCTGCTTCAGATTCTGTGTGTCCCTCTCTCTCTGACCCTCCCCTGCTCACGCTGACTCTCTCTCTATCTCTCTCTCTCAGAAATAAATAATTTTTTTTAAATGTTAAAAGAATGGAATCATACAAAATATCTTTTCCTACCACAATGGAATGAAACTAAAAATCAATTATAAAAAAAAACCTGGAAAATTAACATATGTGGAAATGTTAATGAGAGACAGAGAGAGAGAGAAGGAGAGACAGAATCTGAGGAAGCTGCAGGCTCCAAGCTGTCAGCACAGAGCCCGATGCAGGGCTTGAACTCACGGACCACGAGATCACGACCTGAGCCGAAGTCAGAGCCACCCAGGCACCGAGCCACCCAGGCACCCCTTCTTTTGTTATTTATAAGCCCCTTTCGCCTGACCTGAGTTTGTGCTGATGAGTGAATCTTGTAAGTCCTTTAGATAGTTTCAGGATGGGGGCTGACTGCCAGAGAAACCAACCATGGAATTAGAGGACTGGAATTTTCCACCCTACTCAATCCACTCCTAATGTCCAGGGACGGGAGAGGCTAGGGATCCAGTTAATCACCAAAGGTCAGTGACTTAATCATGCCTATATGATGGAAACTCCATAACAAACTTAAACGGTGGGATTGAGAGATTCCACATTGGTGAATATATCCACATGCCAGGAGGAAGGTGGCATACCCTAAACTGCACCCTAAATTCAGGTCTTGTGCTTGGGACCCTTCCAGACTTCACCCTATGTGTTCCTTCATCGGGCTGTTTGTAGTCTTTACAATAAACCAGCAAGTCTAAGTAAAGTGTTTCCCTGAATTCTGTGAGCCACCACAGCAAATTATTAAACCTGAAAAAAATTGTGATCACTCACAGTTTGTAGTCAAGTTGGACAGAAGTGTGGACCACCTGGTGTGGACCCCCTACTTGCAACTGGCATTTGAAGTGGGAAACTGTTTTACAGAACTGAGCCCTTAACCTCAGTCCCCAGGGTCTGTACTAACTCTGGCTAGTGTCAGAATTGAATTGAGTTTTAGGATACCCAGTTGGTGTGCATAGATTGTGGGAAAATTGCTCAGTGTGGGAGCCCCACACATCTGGTATAAGAAATATTGTGTGTTGAAACAGAAGAATAGCAGTGAAGAGGTAGATAGTGGTCATTTCATAGAAATGGTAGCCAACAGAGGTGGTCAAGTTGGCCCACATTTTCACAAAACGCAGGTCAGCTTACAAAGCCAGCTCCGCTCCCAGGATGCTACAGGGCTGTCATGGACATGCAGAGGTTTGGGGTGACCTCCTTGTAACCACTTGGTACTCTCTTCTGAGTAGTGTCTCCCAAGAGTGGCTGAAGTCTATCTGAAGGTGTCTCTTCCTAAGAAACTGAGGAATTCTCACTTCCGCTGAGAAGGCGGAAATCTTAAACCTAGATTGATTCTCTGACTGTACTGCCTGCCTCTCAACAAACAGAACTAAGAGAGACAGATATTATTGAGAAGGCAACAAACATATAATGAAATATTTCTTTAAATTTTAATTTCAGTATAGTTAACATATAGGGTTATATTGGTTTCAGTTGTACAATATAATGATTCAACAGTTGTACACACTACTCAGGGCTCACCTTGATAAGTGTACTCTTTTGTTTTTTAATGTTTATTCATTTTGAGAGAGAGAGAGAGAGAGAAGGGGGGGGAGGGCAGAGAGAGAGAGAGGGAGACAGAATCCGAAGCAGGCTCCAGGCTGTCAGCACAAAACCCAATGCAGCGTTCAAACTCACAAACCTCCAGATCATACCCTGAGCCAAAGTTAGACACTTAACCAACTGAGCCACCCAGGTGTCCCTGATGAGTGTACTCTTAATCCTTAATCCACTTTACTTATTTCACCCATTTCCCTACCCACCTCCCCTCCAGTAAAGTTCCTCTCTGGTAATCTAGAGTTAAGAGTGTTTTTGGTTTGTCTCCCTTTCCCCTCCCTCTTATTTTGTTTCTTAAATTGCACATATGAGTGAAATCATATGGTGTTTGACTTTCTCTGGTTATTTTACTTAGCATTGTATTCTCTAGATCTATCCGTGTTGTAGCAAATGGTAAGATTTCATTCTTTTTACAGCCCAATAATATTCCATCCTGTATATACACCATATCTTCTTTGTCCATTCGTCTATTGATGAACACAGGCTGCTTCCATAAGTTGGCCATTGTAAATAGCACTGTAATAAACAGAGGGGTGCAAGTATCTTTTTCAAATTAGTGTTTTGGTATTCTTGAGTAAATACCCAGTAGTGGAGTTACTGGATCACATGGTAGTTCTATTTTTAATTTTTGTGAGGAAGTTCCATTCTGTTTTTCACAATGGCTACACTAGTTTGCATTCCCACCAACCGGGCAAGAGGGTTCCTTTTTCTCCTCATCCTCACCAACACTTGTTTCTTGTGTTTCTGATTTTAGGCATTCTGACAGGTGTGAAGTGGTATCTCATTGTGGTTTTGATTTGCATTTTCCTAATGATGAATGATGTTGAACATCTTTTCATGTGTCTGTTGGCCATCTGTCTTCTTTGGAGAAATGTCTGTTCATATCTTCTGCCCATTTTTTAATTGGATTATTTGGGGTGTTTTGGTGTTGAGTTGTATAAGTTCTTTCTGTATTTTGGATACTAACCCTTTACTGGATATGTCATTTGCAAATCTCTTATCCCATTCAGTAGATTGTTATTTCACTTTGATGGGTGGTTGCTATGCAGAAGCTTTTTGATGTAGTCTCAATAGTTCATTTTTGCTTTTGTTTCCCTTGCTTCAGGAGACATATCTAGAAAAATGTTACTATGGCCAATGTCAGATAAATTACTACCTATGATCTTTTACTAGGATTTTTATGGTTTTAGGGGCTTAGGGGCACCTGGGTGGCTCAGTCAGCTGAGCATCTGACTCTTGATTTCAGCTCAGGTCATGATCCTGGGATTATGGGATAGAGCCTGATCAGGATTCTCTTTCACTCTCTCTCTCTCTCTCTCTCTGCCCGTCCCCCCCCAAATAAATAAGTAAATTTTTTTAAAATAGGTTTTTATAGTTTTAGATCTCACCTGTTTTTTTTAAGTCTCACTTTTTTTTTTTTTTTTTTTTTTTAATGGTTTCAGGTCTCACACTTAGCTCCTTAATCCATTTTGGATTTATTTTTGTTTATGGTGCAAGAAAGTGATCCAGTTTCATTCTTTCGCATGTTCTTCCAACTTTCCCAACAGCATTTGTTGAAGAGACTATCTTTTTCCACTGAATATTCTTGTCTCCGTTGTAATCATGGGTTTATTACTGGACTCTCTATTCTGTTCCATGGATCTGTGTGTCTATTTTTGTGCCAGTATAATTTTGTTTTGGTGACTACAGTTTTGTAGTATATCTTGAAATCCGGGATTGTGATACCCTGCAGCTTTGTTCTTCTTCCTCAAGACTGCTTTGGCTCTCCAGCGTCTTTTGTGGTTCCAGACAAATTTTAGGATTATTTGTTCCGGTTCTGTGAAAAATACTGGCGGTATTTTTCTAAGGATTGCATTAAATCTGTAGATTGCTTTGGGTAGTATGGACATTTTAACATTATTTGTTCTTCCAGTCCATGAGCATGGATTGTCTTTCCATTTGTTTGTGTCATCTTTATTTTTTTCATCAGTGTTTTATGGTTTTCAGAATACAAATTTTTCACCTCCTTGCTTAGGTTTATTCCTAGGTATTTTATTATTTTTGATGCAATTATACATGGGATTGTTTTCTTAATTTCTATTTCTACTACTTCATTATTGCTGTGTAGGAATATACAGAAATGGATTTCTGTATATTGATTTTGTTTCCTGTGACCTTACTGAATACATGTGTCAGTTCTAACAGTTTTTGGTGGAGTCTTTAGGGTTTCCTATATATACAGTATTATGTCTTATGAAAATAATGAAAATTTAAAGGTGGATATGAAGGGGCACCTGGATGGCTCAGTTGGTTGGGCATCTGACTTTGGCTCAGGTCATGCTCTCCGGGTTTGTGAGTTCCAGGCTCACACCAAGCTCTTAGCTGTCAGCACAGAGCCCACTTTGGATCCTCTGTCCCTCTCTCTCTCTGCCCCTCCCCCACTGGTCCTCTGTCTGTCTCTCTCTCTCTCTTAAAATACATAAATAAATATGGGGCACCTGGGTGGCTCAGTCGGTTAAGTGTCCGACTTCAGCTCAGGTCATGATCTCATGGTTCATTAG